ATATATTTCTGATGTCTATTCGCTGGCAATTTCTTAAGTTGTTGTTGCCTTCAATTTATTTATTAATTTATTTTCTCGCATTCGTTTGTCAATTAAAAACTAAAAATTCTTAATGAACCCCACGTAACCGTAGCCCCCAGTCCGGACAACCATCCGATGATGGACTCTGGTGGAAATGGGGCTGGCTATTGGATCTGGTCATTGGGATGGGTTCGCTTTGCTTTCGTTTTCGTTTTCGTTTTCAGCTGCGATTGGGCCTGGCTGGCTTGGCTGGCTTCCTGGTGCTCGTGGGGGTGGTGGGGGGCACAGTGGAGCGAATGGCTGCCAAAAGCAGCGAAATGTCGTTAAAGAAGCTAATAAAAATCTACAAAAAATTTGAGGAATAAATTAAATTAAAGATTTCAAAAATAGCGCAAACAACACTAGTGTTTTATACAGATGGGTTACTTATAACACACACACACACAGCACACATGCGTATATATGTATATGCATGCTTGTTTGGTTATGCATAGATGGCAATGATTATATGGATGCATAGATAGAATTGAGTGCCTCATATTGAATTTGCCATGATCGTTTCAATGGCTCAACCTGTTGTTGTTGTTGTTGTTGTTGCTTTACCCTAAGCCCATTGAAAACGTGCAAAGCAGGGCATAATGGTTCTGTGATCATGTATGTCATACATAGTCGGAGTCAGGGCGTACTCTATAAAGGGCATATATTCCTGATCAGAGCGAAAAACTGAGTCGATACAGCCCTGGCCGCCTGTCTCAAGGTCTGTTAGTCTGTCTGTCCGTGTGTGCCGATCTCAGAAACTCTAAGAGCCAGAAACTTGAATTGTTGACCCATGTAGAGCACACACGTATAGAGTTTGTGAAAAAAAATTTATAACTATTTTAGTTTCTGTAATCTCGGGGAAAGCCCCTTTCGAAAGTCAGTTATCATATTATATCTTCTACATCTTTAGTGCTGGAGTCTCCAAATTTTGCATACCAATTTATGTGTATTTTATACAATTTTGATTTTTTTTATGTGCTTGTGTTGGTGGTAATTTTGGAATTTTGTGCGAAGGGCTTAGAGAATCTCGTAGTCGAGCGGTTTCGCCTAGAGCACGCTCACTTGTTGTTTTAGTTGCTGCTTTAAATCGCTCAACGCGTTGTTGATTAGCATCAGAAACACACACATACACACACACACACACACCCGCACCCGCACAAAGAGAAAATTTTCGTGCGATTTATAGTGTCATCCAAAATCATAATTTATTAATAATTTCTGCACACACACACAGTGACACTCAGGTGTGGGTGTACGTATATATAT